AGGGAAGGGAAGGGAAGGGAAGGGAAGGGAAGGGAAGGGAAGGGAAGGGAAGGGACACAACAGAACAAAATAGAACAGAAAATAAAATAGGAACGGAATAATAGAACAAAAAAGTAAATTAAAGGAATACAAACTATAAGGCAAAAGAAAAATAAATCTCATCATTTAAAAACCCAGCTTCCTAATTTGGGGAATTTTGTCCTGTGTTTCCACCCTGGAACCTGAGGTTGGATGGACACTTCCCTGTCAGAGCCCAGAGGTTTCCAGGCCAGCTCTGCAGGACATGTCCCTCTGCTCCCTGCCCAGCCCTGAGACACCCGTGTGCACCCCACTGACCTGTGGACAGCCTCTGCTCCTCAGCAATCTGCTCCAGTCGGCCCAGGAGAGCATCAATGTTGGATTTGATCTGTGTCAGCTCAGTTTTGATTGTCTGCAGCTCGCTGCACTTCACTTGGGAGGGAGGAAGAGAAAAGGCATTTAGTGCCTGGCAGAGCTGCTGAGGTGCCTGGCCCAAGCCACCCGGGGTCAGTGGGTGCTGAGGGGGCTGCTGGTGGTCCTGTGCACCCAAAAAAGCCCGTGTGCCCTTTGTCCAGGCACACTGTGGAGGCTGGCCCTGGGCTTGGGCACCCTCAGGCTGTGCTGGCATCCCCTGCAGCCCGTGGGTTCTGAAAAGCTTGGGCTGCTGTTTCCAGATGTTTGGGTTTTTTTTCAAGTTTCCCCTGGGAGGAGGTGGTGCTGTAGGTGCCCAGCTGGGGTTGGGAGGTCCCCCTGTCCCCCCCGTGTCCCCTCACACACACACTCACGCTTCAGCCTGGCCGAGCTGTTGGCGATGGCGGCCGAGCGGGCGAAGAGCTTGACCGGGAGTGCAGCCTTGACACGCCGGACCAGGGGGATGGTGACACGGGGCCTCTTCACTGGCACCACCCTGGGCACCGGGGAGACACGGCCCCGGTACTCGAAGAGCCTGGAGTTGGGAGGGGAAGGACAGAGGGGGCTGAAAAGCCCTGCAGCATCCCCCGGCCCCGCGGGGACACCCGCGGTGACACGACCAGCCCTCAATCATGAGCCAGGGCACAGCCTGGGGCTCCTGCCCCCCGTGTGGGGCTGGGGGATCCCCCTGCACCCCACCTCGCTGCAGGGAACCTCCTGCCCCATGGAAACCCTCCCCCCCGGGCTGGTGCTGCCCCTGCTCACCTGTCGTAGAAGTCGTCCCTGTAATAGTCATAGTCGAAGTCGTAGCCACTGCAGAGACAGCCCGGGTGGCACAGGTTAGTTTATTATCATAAAATAATCTATCTATCTATCTATCTATCTATCTATCTATCTATCTATCTATCTATCTATCTATCTATCTATCTATCTATCTATCTATCTATCTATCTATCTATCTATCTATCTATCTATCTATCTATCTATCTATCTATCTATCTATCTATCTATCTATCTATCTATCTATCTATCTATCTATCTATCTATCTATCTATCTATCTATCTATCTATCTATCTATCTATCTATCTATCTATCTATCTATCTATCTATCTATCTATCTATCTATCTATCTATCTATCTATCTATCTATCTATCTATCTATCTATCTATCTATCTATCTATCTATCTATCTATCTATCTATCTATCTATCTATCTATCTATCTATCTATCTATCTATCTATCTATCTATCTATCTATCTATCTATCTATCTATCTATCTATCTATCTATCTATCTATCTATCTATCTATCTATCTATCTATCTATCTATCATCTATCTATTAATCTATCTGTATCTCTATCTATGTATCTATCTATCTATATCTATCTATCATCTCTCTCTCTCTCTCTATCTATCCATCCATCCATCTATATTATCAAATGATAAGTATACATATCATTAAACATGTCTGTATTATCAAATGCTGCCATTTATGATCATTCCTCCCTCCTCAGCTGCTGAGCATCCCAGGTGCTTTGATTCCCTTCTGCAGGGTGGGCTGAGTGCAGGGGCAGGTTGGGGGCAGGAGCTGGGGCTGGGGCAGCAGGTGCTGTCCTGCTCAGCCCGGGAGGAGCCACAAGACCTGTGGGTGGATTCAAACCCACAGGCTGGGGAGTGGGGACCACGGGCTGTGTCTGTGAGGTGCTGGTGGCACCACCTGTGGCACTGCCCACGTCCCTCTGTCCTGCCATCAGTGCAGGAGGACCCTGCCTGTGTCAGGGGGCTCTGCCACCACCCTGGAATGTTTCCTTTTATACATATCCCATGTAATTGTTTGGTGGGGGGGAGAAGTCAGAAAAAGGGGAAATCTATTAATTCAGCCTCTTTGCTATCCAAGATGCTTAAACCTCTCCCCTCCCAGCGAGGCCCTGCCCACCTCCTCTTGCCTTAGGTTTGAACTGAGCACTAACCCAAAGTGGGAGCAGTTGGTTTCTCACTCCCTGCAGGCCCAGGAATGTCCCTCCCCTCTGGCTGCAGCTGGTTTTTCACAAGGCCACACAAACCAGGTGAGAAGCCAAATAAAAATTAATGGGAGGAAAGAGAGTAATGGGGAGAGGGAAGGGGTCTGGGCCAGAGAGAGGGAAGGGGAGAGGGAAGGGCGAGCACTCAAGGATGTAGCTGGGAGTAAATTTGGTGACCTGCTTCTTAGCAAGAAGTGACAAGAAGAGAGTGTGGCTGGTGTCTCAGGTCCCTCCCCAGCTTTCCTGGAGCCCCTTCAGGCCCTGGAAGGTGCTCTCAGGTCTCCCTGGAGCCTTCTCTTCTCCAGGCTGAACACCCCAACTCTCCCAGCCTGGCTCCAGAGCAGAGCTGCTCCAGCCCTTGGATCATCTCTGGGGCCTCCTCTGGACTCACTCCAGGAGCTCCAGAACTGGTCACAGTACTCCAGATGGGAGGCTACATCCCAAAGGATTTCTATTAAACACCACCTGGGCTGGTGGATCAAGTAAGACTGTCAAGATTGTTACTTCCTCTGTGTCCCAAATGAGATTCTTTTTCCCCTTCCCTTCCTCTTGACCCTCTCATTGCACTTGCAGCCAGGCAAGTAACCCCCAACCTCTGAAAAAAATAGTGGTATGTGTTGAACACAGCTTTTCTGTAAATGATGGTGCTGTGATTTTTGAAGTCTAACATGTAGAAAAACTGGTGGTGGTGAGGGAAGCTGTAACCATGGCTTGTGCAAACCTGGGCTGTCTGCCTTCCATGAGATCTCATCAGTTCTGCTAGTCCAGATGGCAAAGTTTAAACCTGTCACCAATCTGGGATGAAAAATTGCTGAAGCTCAGAGCAGTGCAGTTCTCTGGCCCATATATTAGCACATCCCTGTTTGTGGAAGGAAGCAAACAGCTCTGGCTTGCTCTCTTTTTTCACTCACTTGGCAGCCTGGAGGTCTGAAATGTTGGTCAACTCAAGAGGAATGGATGAGTGGTCAGGGCAGGCACGAAGAGTAAGGGAACTGCTCTTTACTGCAAGGTGTTTGGAGTGCACTGATCTGCATTTTGGCCACCAGCACTAAGTTTATGTCATCCCTACTTCCATACGTGTAATGCACAGAGCCCCTGGCCCCTCAACTGGTGTCCCCTGGGAGGCCAAGGGCCAAGGTGGCCTGGGAGGGACAATTTCCCTGGTGAAAACTGCTGAGGCCGAGCTCAGCTCAGAGCTCTAGGGAAGGTCTCAACAGACATCTTGGGAGGTGGTGGGAGGGCTGCTGAAGCTCTTGGTGGGCTTGCCCGTGCCAGAAGAGCATTGCCACCACAGGTGTCCCATTTTGTAGCACCCTGCTGGCTGAATCATAAGGTTTTATTCACCCCTCTCCTGTTTTTTTTGTTGGTTTTTTTGTTGTTGTTGTGTTGTGTTTTTTTTCTTTTTCCTGCAGAAAAATCTGCAGTTCTCTCATTATTTCCCTTTTTCTTATCCACTCCTGTAACTCTGATCCTGATTTTAGACTTTTCTTCTCAACATCAGACCTTCTATATCCTGACCCAGTGCCCCAGTCTCCACACCATGAGACTGGCATAAAAATAATGAGAATTTATAAATAAGACACATTTTGGGATCTTGTTCTTTGTGTTTGGGTTCCTGAACCTGCAGGGCACTCTCCTTTCAAGTCTTCCCTCCTGCAACCTCAGGAGCAAGAACTTGGTGAGTTTCTCCCATATTCCCATGACTCCAGATTTGGGGCTTCAAGGAAAAACCTTCACTTCTTGTGAAAATCTTGATAAAGTCTCCAGCACTGACAACAGTGGCACTGAAGGCTCACTGACATCTGGAACATCCACAGACCTACTCCATGTCCCACTTGTCCCTCCTGTTCCCTTGATCCCGTGGTCACTGCTCAACAGCTCCCTTGGAGCTTCCCATGGCCACCTCCTTGGTCCAGCTCCACTTGCTGCCCCCAGGGCTTCCCACTGCCTTCCTTCCTTTTCT